GCTGTCCCTCTGAAGACAGCGCTGACCATCACAACTATTGGAGTGGGAGGCTGTTACTGGTCTCCTGTGCGTGGGGGTTGGGGATACTGCTCAACATCCTGCAACACACAGGACAAGCCGCCCCCCCCCAAAAAAAAAAAACAACAAGGAATCATCCAGCCTCAAATGCCAAAACAGCAGCAAGGTTGAGAAAGCTCTGGGATGATCTGGGCATCTGGAACAGGAACTGATACAGCACAGATTCTATCGTAATACAAGGTTGAGCAAGATCAGCAGAGCCAGCATCAGGACATCCTCATACTCACAGGGGCCTCCATCAGATTCCTCGGCTGCTAGTCCGCCAGGCAGGGTTCTCTGGCTATGCAAAGATCGCTAATGCTCAGGTCATCAAAAGGATGGCCAACGGTGAGGTCACACAAAAGGGGACCCTTTGGAACAAAGGCACACAGGTAATGGCAGCTGGTAAGAATGACAGCTATGAAAAGTTGGGAATCTCCTAATAGGATGAACTTAGGTGTGAAGTCTTATTCAGAAGCCAGGAATAATTAAGTACCAGCGGTGCATAATTGTAACCCCAGCACTTGGGAACCTGAAGCAGGAAGAATGCAAGTTAAAGGCCAGTCTGGGCAACAGAGCAAGATGATGCCTCAAAAAGAAAAAAAGTCAAGAAAAACACACCAGAATCCATCACACCAATAAATGAGGCCAGCCAGAACTCCCAAGAAGGAGGCCACAGCTCAGCCAAGCACTAACTGGCACAGGGACAGACCAAAGAACTGAGTGACAGAGTCACACCTCACCAGTTACAGCAGGAAAGGGTAGATTCTGAAACCAAGTGTGTTAGGAAAGAGATCCTGCATAATTCAAAAACTCCTTTAAAAAAAAAACAAATTTTTGTGCTAGGGATCCACAACTATAACCATAGCTACTCCAGAAGCTGAGATGTGAGGAGCACAATTCAAAGCCTGCCCTGACAAAGTCTGTAGATTCTTATCTCAAACCACCAAAAAAGCCAAAAGTGAAGCTGTAGTTCAAGTGGGAGGATGCTAACCCTGATCAAAAAACCCAGGCACAATTCTCTGAGTTCAAACCTCAGTACCAGCACAAAAACAAAAATTAAAAAATAAAACAAATTTAAAAATAAACAAAAACCCCTTGGGACACCAAAGCAGTATTTCCTGCAGCTCTGGTAAAATGCAACAGAATGCCAGGTACGTGGTCAGCTTGAACCCATGCCTCACATAAAGTTGGCGCCTTTCTCCAAGTGACAGATGCCTGCACCCTGAAAGGCACACAGAAATGGAGCCAGTGGAAGGGCAGATCAAAACCCATCACAATTATTCAGGGATAAAGAATGGTTGAGTAGAAAGACAGAGTCACCCAAACTAGTTTCCACTCCTACCTTTCCCTTCTCCATCCCTTGCCCCTCCAAAAGTATGAGGCCCGATAGAGGAGGGTGTACAATAGGCCCCATACAGAGTCCCTAGCCTGAAAGAGGACTTCTAGATAAAATCTATCCCAGAAACAGGCATTTGGGCTACAATGTCAGGATTCAGTCCCGTCAGTAGCCATTGGCTACTGCCCTTGGCTTCCCATATCCACAGCTTGGTCACGGAGCCCTTCCAGAGTCACCCAGATAATTCAGGCTGACCCCACACCTCCTCTTTGAGGACAAAATTTCACAGGGCACTCTCCTAAGTTTGACCCTGTACCCATGCAGCCTGGCCCCAAGCTCACTGATCATTAAGTGGGACCTTCCATGTGGAATTCAAAGTTCTTATTCACCCACTAGACAATTCCACATACTCCTCTGCTTCAAGTTACTGGCTCTACCTTCCCTGAAGAGAGCAAACTGCATGCTAATTTATAAAACTTAAACCCCAGGGACCTCAAGTGTCCTGTGATCATGAACAACCTTCTCTATCTGATGGGTTGAGGTCTCTGCTTATTTAATGCCTCCCCCCTTTTAAAACTGACCAGACTAGTCTTCTGTCATAATCATTGTCCTGTTTATAGATTCATATGATGGAGATGAAAAGTCCAAATCTTTAAGAAACCAATTAAAAAACAAAAACCCCTCAGCCTGTTGGAAACTTCCAACCTACCAATACTTCCTCCTCAGGGAAGGAAGGTAATTAAGAAGGTGGGATCCACCCGACTAGAGCTTGACCTCAACAGTGGATCATGTGGTTTTGATCTTGGGCAAGTTACTTAACCTCTGGGTGCTGGGTCTTTTCTTCACTGTGGCCGCCTCCCAGCACTGGGAGGATATTAAGTGAGATAATCCAGGAAAAGGGCTCCTTCACAGCACTCTCGTGCATGTCATCATCATGTTTACCATCAGAATACACCACCTGAGACGTGCACCTTCACCGTCCTTGCTGTCACGGGCAATGACTTCAAAGGATGTAGCCAGAGTGACACACAATGCACAACTCAAAACACAATGCACAGCTTTGCAGGTTGCAGCACCTAAGAGCCACCAGATTAGCCCTCTAGTCCCTCTCCCCACCCATCTGAGGATGTCTCAGAATTACAGGGCCAGCTCTTTCTCTCCACAGAGGACACAAGGAAAGGATGGGTGCTAGCTGTGGTCCAAAGTCTGCCTCGGGTGGAGGTCTGGCTCCATCACTCTCTTGACAACCTAGTCTCATTATAAAATGGACAAAATAACTGTAGAATGCTGTCTAACAAAGAGGAAGCAATTTTCACTTGGGCAATTTTTTTTTTAACAAAAGAGATGGTATCTGGATCTTCGAATTCAATTATGTTCCAAATCAAATCCAACTCATACCTACATCTTTTACCCTCAGCCTACCCTCCTTCCAGTTTGGTAGTATCACCATCTGCCCTGGCTATCACGGTCTGGAGCACAAAAGCAAGCCACACCACAGCCCTCAGTCCCGCTCACGCTTCCTGTACCCTCGTCTCATGGCCCCTCTCTTCTACTCCATCCAACTGCTTTCTCTTCAGAGAGCTGTGTGATACACAGTAGGCACTGAACACAGCAGCAACTTGGCAATATGGTAGATGCATTAAAAATACTCGTTGGATTTTAAGGTGTCACCTTTCTCAGGCTAAACTACCCAGGTTCCAATACAAAATCTAGGAGAAAAGAGCCAACCACAGGAGTAGGGCACGGATTGTTTACAAGGCAGGAAGCTCTATCCAGGAATGTATTACAGATCACCCCAGATGAGGGGAGTCTACATTCCAGGCAGCCTCCATCCCTTCTAAGCCTGTTCATGACCATACTGTAGTTTTCCTTCTAGATCTAGCTTCAGTGCCCCTCCACTACCACTCTGATTTGGGGCTGGGTGGAAGGTGAATGCATTCCCTATCTCTGTCATGGAAATCTCTTTTTTTTTCAAGTACTCAAGTTCCCCTCCTGGAGGTGAGCTTTGGGAATGCACACCTACCCCACAATTCTGCCTCCTTCATCTTAGTAACCAACCGTTCTAACTGAAGGAATACACAGGCATGTCTGCATCATCCAAAGGACCCTCAGCCCACCCAAAGCACTATGGGATGACACACTCTCGCTACTCCAAAGGCAAGGCACCAGGTTAGAGTCTGCAGCCCCGCCAGTCAGGTCTGGAGCCAACATCAAAAACACAGGTTCTTTCCTCTGGACCTGGCTGTCTCAGACCAACTTAATGCACAGATTTCTCCTTCCAGTCACCACTTGGCACAGGGCCTACCAAGTCTTACCATGCCTGGGACTTTGCCTGCCACTTCCCTGACACACTCAGAAAGCCAAAAAGCTGGGGCACAGCCCACAAGCATGTGCCTGCAACCCACCAGCAATCATGCTGGTTTTAGCTATGAACAATGGTGTCTACTGCTATACCCCTGCAATTCCCCTTCTCCCACTAACACACACTGCATCAAACACTAGGACCATAGCCTATTGTGGATAAAGGCTGATGTAATACAGAGGTTATCTGTATTTTAGACAAACACTACCTGGAACAACCTCTACCCATAGGAAAGCAAATCTGGGTCCCTCTCATTCAACAAGAGGCAACGATTTCCTTTCAGTCCCTGGCCAAAGGCAATGAGACAGACTCTAACACTCCTGCTGCTAACAACAACGTAAGATGTATAGAATTAAGCTGAGTGCTGGTGGCTCATGTCTGTAATCCCAGCTACTCAGGAGGCCGAGCTCTGAGGATCACAGTTCAAAGCTAGTCAAGGGCAGAAAACGCCATGAGACTCTCTATCTCCAATACACTACTCAGAAAAAGCTGGAAGTGGTGCTGTGGCTCAAATGGTGGAGCCAGGAGTACAAAGAGGCTCAGGGACAGCACCCAGACCCCGAGTTCAAGCCCCAGGACCGGCAAAAGAAAAGGGGGAAAAAAAAGTGTGTAACTAATGAGAAGTAATTGATCCCCCATGTCCCATAAGATTTTTGGAAGAAGGGATTATCTTCAGGGATATTTTCCCCCTAGGAGAGGCGAGGGTGGAGTAACGCAAGTCCTAAGCCGCTACTGAAAGTGGGATCAGGAAAATTTGGCTTCAACTGATAGCAGACTTGGAACTGAAAACAATTCTGGTTCCTTCTCCAGAGGCAAACGAACACTAAAGGAGTTGACTCGGTGGCACAAGCAGCATCCTTGGGGACCCCTTCCCCTCCCCCCCACCACACCCACACCTGCCATAAAGAGCGGCCGGGGGGTGGGGGTCCAGGATCTGACGGAGACTCGGGGAGAGGAGCGAGCCGAGGACCCCGGGAGATCGGGGGGGTGGGGGAGGCTCGCGCTCTCCGCTGCCCTCAGTTTCCCCCGCCAGCCAGGGGTGGATGCCCGGTCCGGCCCGGGTTGCGGGGGGCGCTCGGCCCGCGCTCTCCGCTGCCCTCGCTTTCCCCCGCCAGCCAGGGGTGGATGCCCGGTCCGGCCCGGGTTGCGGGGGGCGCTCGGCCCGCGCTCTCCGCTGCCCTCGCTTTCCCCCGCTAGCCAGGGGTGGATGCCTCGTCCGGCCCGGGGAGGGGGGGCGCTCACCTCTCGCGCGGAGCGCAGCTGCTGGCGCAGCGCATCCTTGCAGCCGTAGGGGCCGCCGGCGCCCGCGCCGCGGGGCTGGAAGTGCGCCTCGACGCGCGTGGCGCCCCGGTACGCGCCCCGGTAGAAGGCGGGCCAGCCGAGCTCCAGCGGCGGCGGCTCCAGGTCCGACTGCTCGGGGAAGTAGGTACCCGAGGAGCAGTCTTGCGACGAGCCAAACGAGTCCTCGGCCGCCGCCGCCGCCGCCGCCGCGCCCTCCCCGCCCGGCCGCACGGCCGCGCGCAGCACATCCCGCACCTCGTCGGGGTTCAGAAAGCGGCCCAGGCGCTCGCGCCGCAGGAACGCCGCAAAGGCCTCGGGGCCGCCCGCCACCAGCTCCTCCAGCGCCAGGCGCCGGGCCTCGCTGAACAGCTCGGCGGGGTTGGGCGGCCCGCACGGGGACAGGCAGGCGGCGGGCAGCTCGTCCGGGACCTCGAGCCGGAAGGCCATGGCGACCGCGGCTCCCGACCACACTCGCTACTTGGACGACTTCTCTCGGGACCGCTTTATAAGCGCCTTTGAATCAAACCGGCCCGCGCCATTGGCTCGCCGCCCCGCCCAGACTCTCCTATTGGTTATTTGCCTCCCAACGGCGGGGCGGGGCGAGACGTACGTCGTCCAGACCCCGCCTCCTGATGGCTATTGGCTGCTTCGCACCCCGCCGTTTCGCTCGGCTGCAATGACAATCTATGGTCCCGCCCAGCCTCACCGTCCGGTGGCCGAGGGGAATTTAAATCTGGCTCTCTAAACAATCCCTGCAGGAAACAGCTGCCGTGGTCAGCAGGAGGAGCAACCAAACTCGAGGGGCTGTGCAACCCCGGGAGGCGCTGCCAGCCACCGGGCTCCAGCTGAGGCCCTAGAGCCGTTCCGAGCCTTTCCTAGCGCGCCCCCTGCCGGCAGCCCCCTGTTCCCCGGTGCGGCCAGGCCCGCAACTGACCTAGCAGAGAGCGAGCTGATGGCTAACTCGGGCACACTGACCGCGTCTGGGCTCAGTTTGAATGTGGCAAGGCGCATTGCCATTATCCCATGTGCCTAATCATCCATTCATTCATTCAAAAAATAGTAGGCCCAAATCGGGCCTGGTGGAACACACCTCTAATCCCAGCACTCAAGAGACTGTAGGAAGATAGCAAATTTGGACTACATAGACACACACGTGTCTATATATAGAGAGAGAGTGTGTGTGTGTATGTATATAACTATATATACCTATGTATACATATATACTAGGTACACAGTGAGTACACCTTTCTATTTCTCCTCTCTCACTGCTACTTTCTTTATTTAGCAAAACTCAAAATTCTATTTGAACTCTGTTTTCCACTTGCACCCTGGCAACCATACCTGCAAGCAAACCTTCTGTTTGCATGGATGATCTGTGGCCATGCCTGTTCAACAGCCACTTTTCTTCCTGGGCACTAGCTTCTCTGGCCAACCTTCTACACGCGTGTGTGTGTGTGTGTGTGTGTGTGTGTGTGTGTGTGTGTGTGTGTGTGTGAATTAGTATGCATATTATATATAGTCAGGAAAAAAATTTAAACCTAGGGATTAAATCTATGCTATCACAGGATTTCATGTCATTTCAAAAGGAATATTTGATAGGATATAAATTCCCAACTGCCTCTCTCCTTTCCTTGAATTCATCAGCTTCTACTTTCTCCCAATCTAAAAACACACCAGCTTTATCTAGGAGCCACCAGATCCCCCTCCACCTCTGGAGCCTCTTGAGCCTCTTGAGAGAGCTTTCTGGAGGGAAGGGAGAGGGAGTAAGGATGTCAAGCATCACCTATCCCCAGCACCAGTATCACTTCTTCCCAAATTCCAGTCAGCCCAGGTCACATGAACTCATAGCAATAATCACAATCAGACTAGTGAGTGTTATTAAAAGGAATTTAATAACCTTAATTAAAAACTCTTAACAGCAATTCCATCACAGGCCTTGTCGACTGGAAGCAACTCCATGGGGTGGCATCCTTTGGGATGTGATCAAACCCAGTCTGGGACATGAACAGCCACATGGCAAGGAGCTACCTGGAAGTTACTTCAATACAATATCAAAGATCCATGAGGATTTTTTTTAAAAAAAGTTTTAAATATATTAGACTCTCTGGATTGCCATTTTTACACAAAGCTGCTGATACAGTATACAGAGTTTTAACCTTTTTTTGTTTTTCACATAAAATACATTTTTCTTAAATGTTCTCTGTACATCAGTGGCTTCTGGTCTGGTGAATTATTGCGGAGGGCTGGGGGTCTGCAGACTTTTCCTGGGTGTGCAGAGCCAGGCCCCGCATGGTGGCACCTGCAGTGTCCACGGGAAGCAGGCCCTCCGGCCAACAAGAGACTTCCGTGGAGGAGAGGGCTAGGGCTTCTGGCCAAAAGGGTCACCTCAATGGAGCTGGCCACTGACCACATGCATGACCTTTTGCTTTTTTGTGCCCTGGGGGAGGAGAGGCTATTCTCCAGGCTACAAATAGCAAAGTCATATATGGGCCTTCTGGGCATGTGGCAAGGAGCGCCCTTCTGGAAATTTCCCCAGTATCCTGCTCTGGGACAGCAAGTTGGAGAGAGATCAGGATTAAACAGTGTCTGACAGTAAGAACCAAGAATCTCTTGTTATTATAAAACCAGCCAACAGTGGTGGGCCAGGATACGAGCCACACCCTTATCAACTTCTCCAAACCTCCTGTAATTGATTGAATGTGCAGAGCAGTTCTACTAATGCTGCTTATTTGATGGAGAATTGTATCCTGAAGTCGTCAGCAGACCTGAGCTTAGGGCTCATTCTTATTCCCTGAGCTACTGGCCAGAAACACAATCTGGTGACAGCCACCAATTTCCAATTGTTGTGGGCACAAGGGAAGCAAGGTCCAGAGCAAGCTCACAGTGAGCCACAGGATACCTGCTTTGAGAATTGCCAGGAATGACCAACACACTTGGGTCTCTGCAAGAGTTGGGACATCTGGTTGACCTCACCAGAGTTCTCTCAGTCCTTTGATCCACACCTGCCAGGGAGAGAGGCTGACTCTCAAGGAAAGACTTCCATGTTAAAAGAGAACTGCTATACCCCCATTCTCTACCCCCACCCCATATCCACAGACAGGGTGACAGTACTATGTGACAGCAAAAATGAGCAAGAGACAATGACTTTGAGGATCAGAGATGCATTTGGCAGCAAATTGCAGACTCCTTATTCTTCTAGACACTGACCTCAGCCTGCCCTTACACTGTCTCCTAGGGATGCTGGCCCAAAGGCAGCTATCCCTGAAGATTCTGGGGTTGTATTTGTCTGAGACCAAAGACCCAACATCTATATTTAGTTGCAAACATTACCAGGGGTGGACTGTGAAGCTGTCTCACAGCTAAAGAGATTCACACTCTAGGATTCCAGGAGCTAGAAGCACAGGGACACTGACTGGACCAGAATGTAGTCACTCAAGGGAACTGGCTGGGGCTGCAGCAGGATGCCTGTGGCTCCCAAGGAATGAAAACCATCAGGAGCAATTCTCACTCTGTCTTGCTTCTCCTTTATCCACACAGCCTAACATAGTGCCTGGTCTGTGGCAGCCACTCAGTAAATCTCATGAGTGAACAAAGCAGAGAGCCTTGCCTGTTTGTGGGAGAGTGTGCCTCAACTTATCCCTCACCACTCAGAAGACTTGTAGGGAAAGCTCCCTGAATGGGGACTTGAAGCCCTAACAGAGAACACAAGATGCTAAAAAGCCTACAAGTTCCCAATCTAAGGCTAAGGCTCCTATGGCTGAGATTCCCAGCCCTTGGGCTGGAGAAGAATGACCCACAAGGCAGGAAGAAGGGGAGAGAGGGAAGGTCCTGGATGGTTCAAGGTGGGCAATAAATGCCTTCCCTCTCTGGCTCCTGAGCAAACAGATCAGCTGTTTCCTGAGGAGTATGTGGCTGCCCTCAGCACTCTTATCTCGTGGCTTAAATTGGCTGCAGAAGGATCTCAGTGTCTGTCAGGACCAAGGGGCTGTGTGTGCTGGAGCATCCTCTGCTTCAACCACAGGCTAAAATGATGAGAGCCCACCTCAAGGCCTATGGATGCAGGAGGAATCATTTACACCAGTCTTCAGTTTCCAGAAGTGACCATCCACCCTAGACTACAACCAGCCTGGAATTGGGGTAGAGGTGGCCTGGTGTCCCCCAGGATACTCCCTGGCTCACAACTCTGCTCCTAGTAAAACATCAGGCCAGGCCTTGGAAGATCCTGCTTCCTCTCCAGGTAACAGGAGCCATGGGAATCACAGTAGGAAACAGAGACTGACAAATGGCAGACTCTATTATGCGGGCTGTGGCCCAGAATTACTTCCCTAGCCCCAGCCCCCTGGCTAGGTGCCTTTCAGGAAGAAATTTTCACAGGCTCAGGCAGAAGCAGTTAAAGGGCACCCGTATCTGTTCCCTCAGGTCATAATCTGGACTTGGGGTGAGAGGCCCTTCAGAGCTCTAAGGAGGTAGTTTTAAGATGAAGAAAAGACACACCGAGCAGAGAACAAACCTGTGCCTTGTTAATTATGCCAAAGGAGTTTGGCTGACCTCTGGTCCATGCATGAGGCAAAGACAACAATTTCAAAGGGGTCATGAGAGAAGGTGAGGTGCTGGGAGTCCTGTTTCCCCTGCTTTTGGAAGATTGGGCCCAGGAAACAGAGGGTTGAGATCCAACTCCAGCCTCCCCACATTCTCCTAAATGTAGGTACAAGACACTGGGCTTGAGCACTTAAGACTTGCAGGCTTCAGCATCACCAGTCCAGCAGAATCAGGCTGGGATTCCCAGGCCTGCAGAAACTACAAAGACCTACTGGCATACCTGTCTTGCCAAAGCATCCAGAAAAGGCAAGGCTGGGCCCAGGATCCCGAACATTCACTCTGCACACAGAACTGATGTCTAAGGTTGGCAGGGTAGGGCTGTAGCAGGCTCCCATGTACTCACGATGAAGGCTCAGTTTGAGCAGGGCTGGCTGAGACATACTAGGTCCAAATAGCCCGAATATTCAAAGATGACCAAGATGCTTCTGGGTATTGTCATTGCTGACCAGAGGCTTTAAGAGATGACTTCACTTTCCCTGGGGGAATAAAAGGCTTTCCCGGAAGTTCCCTACTGAGCTTCCACTTTCCAACACCAGCTAGTAAAACCTAGTGACACCCTCTTGGGAGAAGAATTCATTGCCTCCCATGTGTTGCTTCACAGCCTTCAACAAAGCTTGCTAGGTGCTGGTGGCTCATGCCTGTAATCCTAGCTACTCAGGAGGCTGAGGTCTGAGGATCATGGTTCATCTCCAGCCTAGCCAGGAAAGTCTCTGAGACTTTTATCTCCAATTAACCCCACACATAAAAAGCTAAAAGTGGAGGTGTGGCTCAAGTGGTAGAGCACTAGCCTTGAGTAAAAAAGCTCAGGGACAGTGTCCAAGCCCTGATTTCAAGCCCAGTACCAACAC